CTTAAAAAATTAGTTACAAAATGCCTAATTTTACTACTCTATTGTCTAATTTTGTCTCCAATTGTTGTATTAATAATCTAATGTTCATTCGTACTAATTAACCAAATATATGCACCTCATTGAGGTTCAGGCATGAGTGTGTGAGAGAGAAAAAAAAAAAAAAAAAAGGAGGTAAAAAAGATTTTTCACTATTTTAATATGATTAATACAAGGCTTTTTAATGAAAAAAATTGGGTGAGAGGGGGACATTTGCCCTCTAGGCCTTACATCCCAGCATCCTGCATGAAGAGTCTCACTTTAAAAGAGTCTACTAATTATGATGGGCTTTACTTGCACTACAAGCAATACAAGTTGTATAAAAATGATCTTCTAGGTCTAATAGGATTCCTACTTTTGGTTTACACACTATGAGTCTATGGTATATTCGATTTTCCCTAAACATAATTTATTTATTAGTATATAAACCTAATATAAGACGGCCAACCCAATTACCAAAGTGAAGGATGATTAGTGGTATTAAGTAATAGCAAAGGAACAGACAGGCTGGGTGATTCTCGCGTGTTGTATGAGGTGCAGTTCAACTAACCCTAAAATAAAAGCGAAGGGTGGTTAACATTATTGGAGAAGATTTATATCCACTTTCACCCTAAATTTACGCCAATTATTTTATCGATCGTACCAATGTATGAAATATTAGGGTTCGTTCGTGACTTAACTAAGATTTTTCATGTGTGACAAGTTATTACGTACATGCGTATAGTGTTTTGAGTTTATTAAGATAGTATACGTGTATAGAGCGTAGATATTAATAATTGTACACGTGTTATAATTTGGAAAAACTTTATATGTACTCAAACCTCAAACTAGACTGTCACTGAATTGACTTGTGACACAGATTCGATCCAAATTCAATGTAATTAATAGGACATAGATCACGACTTTCAATCCAATTGTCCGAATAAAATTCAAGTTCGATTATAATGGATCTGTATATGGATCAGAATTCGATTATAAATGAATCTGTATATGGATCAATGCTAATCTTATGCAAGTAATTCAATCCAACTTAATATAACACATTATTTGATTTTTATACTATTTATACTTTTATGTAATGGTAGTTTAAGTTTTTTATGCAATAAAAATAGACTTATATCCCTTCTTATTATTCAACATTGAACTTTTTATTAAAAAAAAATAGTAAATGAATGAGGTTACTAATGATATTTAATCTTTTTTTTAACAAACAATATCATATGCACCAGGGAATGGGTTTAGCCTCACAATTGGCTAACAATAATGTGGTTCAAATTCGTCTTTAGCGAGAATCGAACCTAAGACCTCTCACTTACAAGTGAAAATGAATACCACTAGACTGTAGTACTAAGTGGCAATGTTCTTCAAATTTTTCCAAGTAATTGAATTTGATAAGTATCTGATCCGATCCAAATCTGATGCTAATTTAATCTAGATCGACAAGTAAGATGTGATGATCTGAAGAGATACCAAATCCGTTAATTCGATTATAAGTGAATCTGGATATGGATTAAGATTGGTCCAATTCGAATTCAACCTGTTTACTGGTCTACCTCAAACCAAGGAATCGAATCTCAGTAGTATAAAAGGTTATAGTTAGGTTGGAACCTTCAATATCCTAAATCCTCATATACTTCACATCCACAAGAAGAAAAAAAGACTTCATACATTGGTTATTGACTCATTATTCTCTTCACTCTCATAACGTAACTTATCTTGTGAAAGAGAGACAAAGATACCGAGGTTGGGAAGTTTATCCGCACGACTACTTTCGCCCTCTTTCGTTCCTTCGTTTGTGCTTGTGTCTCAATTGAGCAAAAGCACATGATTTTTTTAGATAGAATGTCACTTTAATATTATTGGTTTTATCACAAATAGAATGTATTTACCCTAAAGTCTAAACTTCTAAAAAGCTTAACACTACAAAATGAATGTGCCTACTCAACTACCAACATTGTGAACTCAACATTTTTTAAATTGATTATGGCTACTTGTGTTGCATTGTTCTTTAAGGTGCTTCTACCTCTTGTCGATATCTCTTAGTGACGGACGTTGCTGGAAGCTTTGAATCTGTTTTACTTAAAATTTTGATGTTGGGCGTTTAGTTCCGTTGTCAAACAAAAACAAAAATAAAAAACAAAAGAACAAAGCTCAACAAATAATAAAGGAATATTATTCGTTTTGTAACTCTAGTGCCTCTTTATTCTGACTTTTCTCCACTTTATACAATGTCTGACATTAAAAAGAAGAAATAAAATCAAGGGTTATACGATGCTTGTTTCAAACTTGTCTTCTCCGCCTTTCTCCTTTTCCCTATTGACAAGATTCAAACTCCAAAGGTCGGTACTAGCAACAAGAAAGTAAAACACAATTAAGAAGATTATGGTGTTATCGAATTTGCACTTGCAATAAAATTGATTTTGATTGCAAAAATAAATAGTCACTATATGGGAAGTTTAGTACTAGATTGTCATGGACTCATGTATCAAAGTTGATTATATAAAATTCGTCATATTTACCATGAATTTTTTTTTAATTGCTGATAATTTGGCTCGTTTGGATTTGTCGTGTAGTTTCGGTCAAATCATTTTTAGCAAGCTTCCCCTTCTTGTCGTCGATTGTTAGTTACAGATATAACTAGAATCTGGTAACATCGTGATATTTGTATGTAATTTTTCATTTTCTTTCGGGCTTGTGCCACATTAAAAAATAAAATAAAATAAAAGTAAAACACAGTTAATTTTCTTTAATATATTATTGACTTTTCTTTTGCTTGCCGTTTCGGACCTTTATTTTAGCCAAAGATGTCAGATGATTGAAACTTTTATGTTATTATTGACTCCACGTTTTCATTATTCCACATAAAAAAAGTCTTAAAATTTATTTTATAATCTTTTATAAGTGAAAATTTCTTAAATAATATTTTGAAAAGCATTACCCTTAAGTAATTAACCACTAATTTTGCTTTGCATGAAAATATGCAAACATGTTAAACACGGCAAAGCATAATGTCATCAAACCCCATTTTATAACTTGCATAAAAAAAAAAAAATTGTCTAAATATTTGGGCAGCATAATTTCCAAGAGTCCCACAAAGGGTGGTGACTGACTGGAAATGAATAATTCACTTTTTTTTTTTTATCCCAAATTCCAATTCCCACACTGCTTATCTTATCATTGACTTTATTTTCGCCAGATCTTGAAAAGGAAAATACCACCTACATGTCACGTGCCCCTCACGTTCATCAAAACCCCCATGTCCTAGTACAACCTAATTCTTAATTAATATTTTCTAATTTTGGCATAACCCAAATTTAGGGTAATGTTCCAATGCTCAACTATGTTATATCACTACAACGTAAGACAATTTAGCAGAGAAAAATCGCTTATTGTTAAATTTCAGGTAGACGGGCTGAGGGTCCACTTCAACAACATTGATATTGTCCTTACTTGGCCACCTGCTTAATTCGTCCGGTGTGAGATTTTAATACAAAAGGTGTCGATATTAGTTAGAATGAAGTAATTCTATTTAAAGAATTTGGTCTTAAACCTTTTGACCGATGTGGAACAAAGAAATTCTAACACTTATAACATAGAAAACTATTAAATTTATTGAATCAGTAGAATTCTAATAATGCGCATGACTGACAATCGTCATGATCAAATCAGATCAAATCGAGTCCTATCGTACCATAGAGACTTAACATCTAGTAGGACGATTGTACCAACTTACACTAGGGTGGACCACTTATGGTTACCAATTTACCCAAAACCCATTAGCTTGCATTGCCAAATTCAGCACAAACCACATTCATTTCTCTTCCGCTGTCCTCACCTTCCAATACAAGGCAGGGCCACCCTTCACTAGGACACCCCCACTTCTTCTCTCTTTAGCGTTACCCTAAAAGTCGTAGGTGTAATTCCAAATTCACTCTAAAATTAAACCATTAAAAAAAAAGCATTAAATAATTAAAAGGAAATAGGAAAACAATAGGGGAGGGGCAGAGGGCAATGTGATTATCTTGTTGTCAGCATATGAAAGCGACCAAAGAGAGGCACATAGCAACGTGCGTAGGACACGCCTCGTTCAACCACCACCAGGCTTCGGGAATCCCAACAGTTTTTATTGTGCCCCAGTATCCACGATATTTCTGCTTATACGTCGTCGTCTCGGTTACGCACCAAATTGTGCTATTAGTAATTGGAGTGTGCCCATGATGTTGCCACTCTTTTGGACTTTTTCCTACTTTTACCCAGATTTTTTCCTTTTTTCTATAGTTTCCATTTTTTAATTAATTTATTTATTATAATCTATTTATTATTTTAATACTTTTCAGAAGTAGTTGCCGTTGCGGGCAGTGATGAGTGCTATTGCCACAGCAACATTTGCGCGCGCACGTCCGACGTGTCAGCTTTTGCCTCTCACCTGTCCCTTTCCTCGCCCCCTCTCTCGTTGACCCCACGCTTCGGAAGTCAGGCGTGCCCGCGACGCCCCACCGTTTCCGGTTACCTAGTTGGTCTCGATAGAACAGCGGCAGCGGATTAAAACAAACAACGAAATACAACGAACGTATCACGTCCCTCACGTCAGCGGTCCCCACATACAACTCTGAGCCACCGCTCGCTAACATGCGCATCGCATCTGCCTGGTTAAAATGCGCCTCATTATCCATTTTTCTATCCAAAACTAAAACTATACAATTTAGGAAAACAATAAACAATGCAAACAAAAAATTGGAAGGGTTGAAATTTGCAATCTACTAGGTATTCACATTATCCCATGAAAGTTAAATTGTTTTCTGTGGTTTTTTAATTCATAAAGTTGCAACTGCTGTGGTGTCAATTGAGTCCTAAAGTGAGGTAAATGTGAATTAATCCAAGGATTTGAAGCCAACCTATGAACCTAACAAATTAATTATTAATTACTCACAAGAAAAATAATAAAGAAATTAAGAGAAAATTAGGAAGAACAGATTTGTATTGATGAAAATTTGTATTTTTTTTTGGGAGGTGAATTAATTTGATCTAAGACATGTTAACATGCACACTAGCGTTCTTGGCGGATTTACAGATGGGGCAAGTGTGCAGCGATGATCCGCACACCGTACACAAACAAAGGTGCCTACAGGGCAAAAGCAACACGCAGGCCTCCTCCGTCCCGCAACTCCTGCACCACCTACTTGTACTCGACCTGCATCCCCCGCTTGTACCTTCCTCCCCGCCAGGACCCTCCGTACCATTTGTACTAGTAGTACCCTTCACCGTGCGCCACCCATCTAACCCCACGACTCCGTCGTTTCGGCCTTCGTCGCCTCCGCTGCTTCCGCAGCATGACTGGGCGTCGTCCATGAGCGCGGTGGCGTTGGCGTCGTTTTGGTTGTTGTCGTCCTTGGCCTGGTGTGCCAGGACCTGCTCGAGGTTGGTGCGGAGGGCATTGGCGGTGGCCTCGTTGGTCTGAGCGAGGTCGCGCCATATTTGATTCTCCATGCACAACGACTTGACCCGCTCTTCCAGCGCCCAGTTCAGCTTCCCAATTTTCTGAATTTCTTCCTCCTTTGCCCTCAGCCGCTTCACCACCCCCACCTCAATGGCATCTATTATCCGCCGCGCCTGCCGATTCCTCTTCTCCTCGACCTCCAATCTCACTTTCTCCATCTGCAAAATCGAAAAATAAACACATCCCAAATCAATATAACCGGATACAAAATACCCATCAAATAATCAAAACACCCAACACCAAATCCGTCCAAATCCGTCGAATTTCTAAGCTCTGTATTTTGGTACTTACGTGTTGCGAAATGAGACGGTCGACGTCGAACTGCTGCTGCTGCACGTGCAGAGAAATGTCCTCGCCGAGAAAAGAGAAAGCCCCGCAGTTCTTGTAGTTGGTTAACGGTGGAGTCGGGTGCGAAAACGAAGGGCTGATGCCGTTGCCAATCGAGTCTCTGGACCGCTTTCTCGGGAGAGTGATCGGAAAGTTGTAGGTGAGGCCGCTGTCGGATTTCATGGCGGAAGTCTTCGGCGGCATTATCGAATCGGCGATCACGGAGTTGTACGTCGGCAGCAGAGCCTCCCCCGCCACTCCTCCGGTGGATAACGGCACTCCGTACCCAATCTGAGTATTGTAAAGATTCGAGTTCCCTTGAATCTGGTTCATCATTTCCCTGAAAACGAAAAAAAAAAAAAATAACACCAAAGCAATCAATTTTTTGCCCCGAAACATCAATATTAACAGACCCAGATGATAAAATACAGAGAAAAAGATGAGAGATTGTGAAAAGTACCTGTTGGGTATGAGTTGGGATGGAAAAAGATTGAGATGGCGGGCTTCAACAGCCATGGATTTTTATGGTGAAAAGAAGGAGAAGAAAGCAGCGGAAGCAAAGGAAGCGTTTTCTTCGGTTTTGCAAATTGGTGTGTCGATATGTATAGAGAGAGAGAGAGAGAGAGAGAGAAGCGTTATGGAGTTTGGCAGTGGTTCTTGTTTGGATTTGGTTTAATGGGTTTTTGGTGCTTTTTAAGAGAGAGGAGAGGAGAGGAGAGTAGAGGAGAGGAGAGGGGGAACAAGTGTGAGGAGGAAATGAACAAAAGGGCATGCAATAGAGGTCGCGAGGATGGATGGGGGGTTTTATTTAGGGCTTGCTTTGGTTTATAAAAAAAAGGGAGAAAATTAAATTAAAAAATTAAAAAGATAAACCCAAAAAAAAAAAAAAGAGTGCAGTGTGAGAGTAAAGGTTAAAAAGGTGGAGAGAGAGAGAGAGAGCGAGAGAATCAGAGATATATATATGGATTTTGACCGTTTTGTCTATATTGGGATGCAGTTACCAGAAAGACCCTTCCGTATTGTGCTTGTTTTACTTGACTCCTAATTCGCAACCAACACAGTAACAGAGATCCGGTCAGTCCGTAATTTCAGCGATAACTGAGGGGCGTATCCGAACGCCAACGCCTCGTCTTGCCCGTATCTGTTTTCCGGTCCTCCTCGCAGAAATAATTTATTACTTTTTACGTCGGTGATTAATCAAATGAAAAATAGAGAAAGTGATGTCGATAACTGACATTGTGGGCAGGGCATCTGCCACGCAGTACTTTGCCCACTGGGGCCCGCCACGGGACGGAATGCCAGGGGCCGCCACGTAGGCACAGCTATACTCCAAAACGCCAAGTCACCCTACGGAGCCCGCCTGCCTCTCTGTTTTTGCCCATAAAAAATTCAGTGAATTCACAACCGCAGCTGCAGCAAGTGTGGGGCCGGGTGGGCAGGGAACACGACGAGCACTCATCCCTCCGAACACGTGCGAGGGGCCAGCGTGGACTTGCGGGGACCACCGAACTGACCTTTGTCAATCACAAGGCTAAAACTAAATAAATAATATTCTAATATTTTTTAATATTCTAAAATAATAATACATAAATAAGTAAAATATCAAAAAAGGTCAATTACCATATACAGAGGCCTGTGTGATTAAATTAATTAAAGGGCGACGTTGGGGGAGTACGGGTGGTACGCCTGGAGGGTGGGCCCATTTGGCAGTTTCTATTTTTACTCATGCGCATAGCATGGTACGTTTCGCTTTGTTTGGTTCAGCTTTGGACTGTATCTGCCACGTGGACACCATTTCCATTTTCTTATTGATGTGGTTGCAAAAACTTGCTAGTTCAATCTAAACCAAGAACAAACTTGAATTCCAACCAAATCAGAGCAACAATGAATCAAAGTCTTCATAAATTTGTCATTTTTTCTCTATTAAACCAAACTTGATGCGATAAATAGACGAACTGAGAGCAACAATTTGTTGACTTCCACATTGGCTCCACAAAAAGAAAAATAATAGTTTAAATATTATAACCGTACTTCAACTAATATCGAGATTTTTTATGATAAAATTTCACATTTGACGATTGTGCAAGCGTTAATTATTAAGTTTGTGACAATATCGGTGTTGTTAGAAGTAGGCCTTTACTCATCTTTCTGATAATTCTACTTAATTCACAATCAACAACAATTCAGTGAATTCTCCTTTCAGTTTCTATCCCACGGCTCCATGTTCGCTCTCCATGTGAAATTGTTCTTTCAGTTGGTTTTTTTTTTTTTTTTTTTTTTTTTGGGAGCCATGGCAACCGAAAAAAGAAAAAGAGGCTTTTGCTAGCTGCTTGTCGCTCCACACTCACTCTCCCAATCAAATCATCACACCCATTCGATTGATCTTAGTCTTTAGTAGGTCATGCATAGTTGTCTACGCACATACGGTAATTGTCAAATGTTAATGCATGTGAATCGAATTCATCTAAATTCGTATAAAGTAAATTTTAGTTTTCATTAAATAATGTTTTTGTTATCAACGCACATGCGATAGTTTTCAGCCCTTAGCATGTGAATTAATCAAATTCATTTTAATTTGTATTGATGCATGTCTAGGTTATCATAAAATATAAGGAAAACTAATAAAAATAGTTTGAAAATTTTGAATTTTAACGATAATGACAAAATAAATAGTAAAGTAAATAGTACCATGATTAACTTTTTAATATAAAAATGTGATTTTTGGTTAAAATAAATAATACTGAGAGCTTTTCATTAAAGTTTCCAAAAATATATACATGCAACGGTAAGGACGCTTTATTTTCAGTTCGTTATACATGTCCACGTGTGTTGTGCATGCACGTGAGATCTTAACTAACAGTCGCACATGTGTGGGCAACAATTTTTAATATTTACCGCTATTTCTAAAATTCTGTTTGCCTATTCAATTAAAATTAGAGTTACATCCGAATCCTTTTATCTTTGTCAATATACGGCACGTAAAATGTTATTCCGAGTCTCTAGAAATCAATGTGAAGTGAAAGTTGCATAACATGACATGTTTACGTACATGTATAGGAAATTAAACGGCACATAGTCCAAAAACAATTTGTTTCACACAAACCTTTATATTAAAGTGTCACACATTCGGATTCAAATATCTTTAAATGTATAATAAATTTGTTTGACGAAAAAAAAAAGTTTAATAAAATTTGACAAAAGAAGAATGCTACGTATAAAAAAATCATAATGATCACGTCTCTATAGGCTACAATTTAAGCTTTAATTTTCCAAATTTGACAACAACCAATAAAAATACTTTATTTTTTTATTAAATATTTTTTGGTACCACATCAACTTGATAAATATAATTCCATCGCTTTTGTGAAAACTTTTAGCTGTTTGAGGATAAGGGTTCATTTTCTGCAAATGTTATTGGTGTTTCGAATGTTCATTTTCTACAAATGTTAGTGCATCAAATATTGGTTCCTTAGACAAAAACAACCGAATATTTTGTTGCATAATATACCTCGCATCCTTTATGTTTTCACGTGACATAACGTTTGAGCTTATCTTAATTTAGTGGTGGACAATGGATGAGAATAAATGTTCATTTAACTTTTGTTGTTTTACTTTATCATTCACCGTTGGTTAGAATTGGCACAATAGGTGACTACAATTTCTTGGATTATCGAGTCTAGAAGAATGGAACTGCTATAGACTTGGACATTTTCTAATCTACTATTTTCTAAAACTTAAAGAAAATATTACAAATCAATTAGAATTAATTTATTGCTTCCCATATTCGAGCCATACTTTTTGCATCTAAAATATTTCCTTCCATTTTAAGCATGCATCTTGACCAAATCTACATTTGACAGCATGCCAATCAATCCCAACTAATTTTTCTGAATTTTCAAAGTTCAAGCTTCATCTGATAAAATTAGTATAAAATGTAGAACCTAGTGAATAAAATTTGTTCCATTTCGGACTTATCCAGTTGCGCTTTAATTCCTTGAGATTGCTTGGTGTTATTTCCGCATAATTGTGAATTAGTAGTCAAGTTTTGTTAATTTAGGAAAAACGTTGCTGCTAAGATTGGATTAATAAGGATGCAACTTTGTAGGTGGTCACGATGTTGACCATAAAGAAAAGCATGAAGATACCAACAATAGTTGATGGATGCTCATAAGCGATATAAAGGGAAATACTCAGTAGTTATGTTATAATTTAGTCTCCTATGTTACGTTTTTACATTTTTACACTAAATTGAGGAGAAATTTTACAGTAAGAAATCTCATTTCAAGTCACAAGATATGTGGATAAAACATACCATATCTTACAAAAAGTAGCTTATTTCCTTTATTGAGTTTATGAGTATCTAGTATTTACTTATGAATCAGTCTTTCAAATTATATATATAACACGTCATAAGTTTAATTCTTAATTAGTCACCCTGCTACATGACATGACAATTCTACTGCTTTTTTCTTCAAACTACAACCATAAAGTAAGTACCCAAGAAAAGGAGATGTTATCTTTTGTAATTATTTAATCATGTGACAAGTTTTTATGAAACGAATGACTAAGGTTGTCTTTAAGATTTCGGAGGCTCTGTGCCACATTTGACACATGTTTTTGTGGGGCTACTCTGTAATATTTCAATGATCTGAACCATCCATCTTTTATGTCTTACCTCAAAGATTATAGTTATAAAAAATCACTTAATTTCGAAACCAGGTAAACATTTGATTAAATCTAGTGTTTTTTACGAACTGCATTGGTCCATTTTTTTCATGACAAATAAATGTTTTCATGATTTTGGATTTGTCTAACTTTTTGCAAGGATGGTCTTTAAATGATGTACTAAAATATAGACTGTTCAGATAGCTGAATTAAATTACAAAGTGGTCCTTAAAAAATAGGTGTCAAATGTATGTTCCCGGATTTTAACTATATATATATAGTTAGATGGCGAAAATATTTTAGGATTCCATACAATTGAACCTCTCACTCCCCTAAAATCGCTATTATGAATGTCACAAGTAGATTTATAAAATAGTTGCAAGAGAGAATCCCTAATTACACAGTTTATAATAAAAAGATGAACTCTCATTCAAAATTGGCTTTCGCTTACCAATCTGTCTCACGCCCTACTCTTCCTCCACATCACCTAGATCATGGCACGTTTCTTCTTAATTAGTTAGGCAAAGAAAAATGTGTAAATGTTACGAAACCCCAGCATGCTAACATATGCAAAGAGATACCCACTAGCCTGTGTGGTCGATATGCATATAGGAAAAATGAATATAAAATATATAGCTAGGAAATATTCATGTACTATAATATATACCCTCTTGATGTATCGAAACCCCATACGGCCATGCCCTACCACTCTCCCTCCATAATAATTCGATGCTATCAAATCATCGTACCAAGACATCGAAGATGTACCTTTCCCATAAAAATATGTAAATAATATTTTTTTTTAAAGCAAGACAACGGGGTGACAATGGCATTCATTATTGCCACCCATAATTATTGAATAGAACGATATTGTCAAGGCAAATTGCATCACGGTTAAGCAACTATAGTTTTCTTTTACTTTAATTAAATTAGAAATGTTATTTTAGTCACTCGGTAATCAAGTGATACATGGCCATTTTTCGATTCGATATCGTCTAAAAGAATTAAAGTTATTTAGATTCATATAAAATGATGGATAAAT